TAATCAATTTTTTTTAAATTTGTCGACCTCTTTATTTAATGGAGCCTTGATTCTTTGTATGTGAATTTTTTTTTTTTTTTTATTGGAAAGGCGGATATACAGAGAGGAGAATCTTCCATCCGATGATTCACTCCCCAAGTGAGCGCAACGGGTCGATACTATGCCGATCCGAAGCCAGGAGCCTCTTCCGGGTCTCCCACGCGGGTGCAGGGTCCCAAAGCTTTGGGCCGTCCTCGACTGCTTTCCCAGGCCACAGGCAGGGAGCTGGAAGGGAAGCGGGGCTTCCGGGATTAGAACCGGCGCCCATATGGGATCCCGGGCGTGCAAGGCGAGGACTTAACCACTTGCGCCACCGCGCCGGGCCCCTTTGTATGTGAATTTAAAATGTTGCCTCAAAAGTTAAAAACTAAATGCTGATCCAAAAAAATGTCATTTCCTACTAATCTACAGGTATCATACAATAAATGTTGATTTTTTGATAACTTTTTCTTTTCAGAGTAACGCTTTTATTGTACTCTGGCTTCCGATTTTCAAAGGGGTCTGTTTCTCTCCATGTCTACTTCTTAAATGAAATATTGTTGACTTGCTAATTTGAAAGCCACTGGGAGTGTGAATGTTTCCTGTGATCCAATTAGACCCTGGGCTTCTGTTGCAATTTGGAATTTGGGCTCTGTTTTCTTGGCGGGGTGCAGGGGTCAGCTCTGTGCTGGTAATAACTTTTTATCCTGTTCCCAAAAAAGTCTGCAGAAGTTCCAAAACTTGGATGTGCCGGCAGGTCAGCCGCAAGAAAAAGAGGGTCAGTTCTGGTTCTTATTAGAGGCAGGCAGGTACACTGACTCCCAGCTTCAACCTCTGTGCCAATGCTTGTTTTCATGTTTATCTTTTGAAAAGCTTTTAACATGTATTGCTTGAGAGATGGGTGAGATGGGATGAGAAGGAGACAGAGAGAGAGAAAAAAAGAGAGAGAGAGAGAGAGAGAGAGAATTTCTCTAATCTGGTTCAAGCATCCGTACAGGTCTAGCTAAGTCAGACCAAAGCTAAAAGCAAGGGGTTCAATGCATGTCTCCCAGGTGAGCGACTGGGCTTTGATCCCCGAGCCATCACTCCTGCAAGCCAGCCTCTGCGTTAGCAGGGAACAGAGGTTAGGAGTCAGAACCAGCATGAGACCCTTGAGCCCGTGTTAACACGCAGACGAACCTGCCCCTTCTCTTTCCTATTCAAGAGTATTATCCGTGGCTATCAAATTATGGATTCATTTTTCGTCTTCCTTTTTGGTATTGAGGATATGTTATTTTATTACCATCTTGCTTCCACGGCCTCATGATGCAGTGACCCATCCTCACAGCTTCTCCCTTTTCTTCTGCTGCTTTCCAAGACTTTTTTTTTATATATAGCATTTCTTTTCCAGATGTTTCCATCTAAGGTGTTGACATCTGGTCATGTCTACACATATCCAACGTGTTTCTTGACGAATTCTTTATCTGTAATTAAATGTTTTAGAAAATTTGGGAGCATCCAGCCAGTATTTCTTTCAAAACGTTTGCTTTTCTAATCTCCCCCTATTCTCCTTTTTGGAACTCCGGTAAGACATAGCGATTTGGCCTTAGAAAATGCACCACACGTATCCAAAAGTCTGTTTTCTTTCTCCAAGCTTTTTCCTTGGAGTTCCCACAACTGAGTAAGTTCCATTGATCCATCTTCAAGTGTATTGTCTCTTTTTTCAACCTCAAACATCCAATCTGCCATGAAACTCATGGAGTGCATATTTCATTGTGGTTCCTGTGGTTCTAAAATTTTCTTTCATTCCTGGTTGTTTCTATTTCTTTGTTGACTTTTCCTTTCTTTTTAGTCGTTAAAACCATGTCTCTAGCTTTTGAACAAATTTTCCTGTAGTTCCTTTAGCGTTTCTGTACTAGCCATAGTAGTATCTTTCATTATTATTTATTGAATCCAATGCTTGCATTATGTTAACTTCTTTGTTATCTCTGATTCTTAATCATACTTTTCCTGAATTATGGATAATGAATTTTGTTTCTGAATATTAGGCACTACAGATAATTCTCTGGGCTTAAATTCTGGTAACTTCTCTTGAGTGTTCATTCTTATTATAGTATGCTTTTTGTTATTACCCAATCACTTGGAACTTGTTTGATATAGTATTATGCTTTGGTAATGTTTGGTGCTTCAGGCTAGTCACTAATAATTTTACAGGACTTTTGAGCTTGTAACTCTGTTTTCCATGACTTTCCAGATCTTGGTTATATATATTGATAGAACAGGTTAACAGTAGGTCTTATTCTAGAATGTGCTGTGTATTTGTAAATGCCCAGTCCAGCTTATGTCAGCTGGATGCCAGAAGTTTTAAAGGAGGCGTTAGCAGGCTGTCCCAATGCCATCTAGCATCGCTCTTTCCCCCAGTACTGTTGAGTCTAAACTTTGTTCTGTCTGCTGCTTCCCACGGCAGCCGCCGTGGGCTCCGTGTAGCTTGGACACATCCACCACCAGCTCATAACGCGTTCTTACGTGGCTTTCTTGGATTTTCTTTCTGGAGAGATCTGTTTCTGTGCTGTTCCACATTAGAGAATTCATTTTCTTCTGTTGCCTTAACTGTTCACACCTCCCTTCTCCTCTCAGGGAGAACACTCGGTTCTAATTGGATTCCAACCGCTACTTCCTAGGAAGTGATCCCTGGGAAGAGAAGGGATGCTGATGAAAATTACTTTGTGATTTTTGCCCATTACTCAGTACCTAAAAATCATTTCCTCGCGCAACCCTTCTAGCTTTGTTTTTATTTGTATTTAGCTTACTGCAGAAAGATGCCATACATCATTTAGCTCATCATGGCCAATGGTCATATTGAATTCAGAAAGAACTTTTAAAAATTCTGTTTCTTTATATTTACTTGAACTCCTGATTTTGTCATTCATTTTAATGTTTGAAAACGAGTTTTATTTTGTCATTGTGCACTACATATCACACACATCTATTTTTTCAAAATATTATGTATTCATTTGTTATTTGCGTGGCAGAGTGAGAAAAAATGAGGCATGGAAATGGGGAGAAAGAGAAACTTGTTTCTTCTCTTGGTTCACTTTCCAAATGCTTGGAGTATTCAGGCATCCAACGCTGCCCATTTGAAGCCAAGAGCCAGGAAGCCCAGCTGGTCTCCCACATGGGTGCCAGGGACCCAAGCACTTGGCATATCTTCCACTGTGCCGCCCCCTTCCGCCCCCCGTCCATCCCAGGTACATCAGCCAGGAGCTCCATTGGAAATAGAACCACCAAGACTCAAGCTGGCTCTCCCGTGTGAGATCTTAGCCATGCAGTGGCAGTTTAAGCCTCCTCGACAGAATACTGACCCCACACCCTCTGATTTTTTGAAATGTCTGAAATGTCCTTATTATAATTTTGCTTGGGGACTTTCCAAGTGTATTTTAGTGCATTGCAAATAAGTTCTTAATTTTCTTTATTACTAAAAAAATCTTTTAGCTAAATTTAGGCCTAAAGAAAATAGCAATTTAACTGATTTATATTTAAAAAAAATAATTTGGTATCTTCCTCTTCTATAAACACAGATGCTGAGACATGAAATAGGCCAAAAGGAATGATTGTGTTTGTCTCTCATGATTCTGAAATGCTAACACAAAACAATTCCAGTGCTGAGGAGTCTCTCCCTTGACGTGGGAACCTTTGTCTGTACTCCTTGTGGCCAAATGAAAGCCACTCCTTGAGAAATTTTTCATGTACTTGTTCATGTCTGAAGGTGCTCAGGAGCCCAGTGAAATGAATGGTGTTATCTAATCAACTTGAATTCTGTGTTTTACCCTAAAAAGCACCAAAGTGTTTTCATCTTTCTGCTAACGACAGCTGCAGTCACCTGTTTAATTAGGTAGCCGAGGATTTTCAAATAACCCTCCGAATTCCTTAGTAAACACTTCGGGGGAGATGATTGGATCCTTGGTAGAGGTTGCCTGTCCAAGGCCATGCTGACCAAGCTGTGCCTCTGCGGAGTCCCTGGCTCTCGCTGCTTCCGTGCTGAGTCGGAAGATGTCAATGGCAGTGTCCTATTCCAGGCTCACAGAGTGGCACAGCTGTCCCCGGTGTGAAGCCACCGTGTTCATCGTCCCATTTTAGAGGCACTGTGATGTTATTTAGTTATTTATTCACTTTGGTAAAGGAGCATGCGTGCTTAGAATCGTCACCTCTTAAAGTAGATTCAGGTAAAAAAAAAAAAAAGAAAAAGAAAACTAAAGTAGATTCATGAGTCTATAAAGACATATGAGTCAGTTTCATTCTCGCATTGTTTTTTCCTGTTTTCATTTCCTGGGTCCATCTCCTTTAAAAATGTCCCTACCATTTAGGCATATCCTGAGAAATACATTTCCACGGGAGAAATACAATTGTGAAAAATGGAATTATTCTATCAATAGTTGTCCGGATCAAAAATAAAACCCCAGTTGTGTTTCTCCTCGGAAAGTTATTTTGAAATGCAAGTGAAACATTTGACTACGTCACCTAGCTACATGGGAAGGGTCAGTTTCCCCGTGCTCATAGTTTGTTGTTATTATCCAAACCACCCTCCCAGTAGTCTTTCTTTCAGATATAGAAATCCTCTTTGTGTGTGTCAGTTGCCAAAAGGACGAGGATGTCACTTTTAGAATGTTGGTTAGGAGGAATCAGGAAGAAAGTTGGTTATGGATTTGGTTTTCCAGAATACATGTTTAGTTCTTTCGCATAGCACACCCATTCTTGACTTCTCTCCAACAATGCGCTCAATACAACACGTTCACACTAACTTCCCCCGAGTTACACGAGATGTGTGTGAGATTTGAAATGGATGCAGTGTCTTGCAGATGATGCTAGATCAATATAGACCAGTATCTTTTTTTTTTTGTAGCTAAATATGCGCAGACCGTAATCTCGTTGTTAAGCCACTAGCCCTCCCTCCTCTTCGGTGAGAAAACATTTTAGCATCTCATTGCTGTCTTTCTTTTTTCTAGACCGAGGCACTGTGCAAAAGGTGGTTGTCCTTCCTACAAACAGTTCTACCAATGGCGAGCTCATTCTGGAAGAGCTAGAAGTTTTTAAGGTTTGAACATTCCCCTCCATTAATCTCAGAACATGCAATGATGAATGGCATTCTTTGATTTTTCCCAGCTACTGAAGAGGAAAAAATATTGGAGAAAAGATCAAATAAGTGAACGTGATTAATGTTCGAGGGTAGGAAAACAGCAGATAAAATAAGAAATATAGAACAAATATTTCGGTGACTTGTTTTTTTTTACACGTCAGTGTCTCTTAACATAAAAGGGTTCAGTTTTGTTTTTTTTTCAGCTATCATCGCAACATGAAGAATCTGGGCCGTCATTATTTTTTAACAAATGAGCTCTTGGGGTCAGGGTCTTAAAGATTTCAGCATGAAAGGACTTTTATCATTTTGCTTCACCAGCCACTGACACCAGATGGCTTCACAGTATAGATTCCGAGATAAGATTTCTTATATTTTTGTAGGCAGTTATTTCAAGAAGAATCGCTTGGTTATCTCGTGTTTTATTGCTTTAAATTCAAATGTCACTCTCACTCAACACAACCAGCGTCTCTTGGCTACTCAGCGTCTCGTGTTCTAAGCTTGCATTATTCCCATTGTTATTATTCTACGCTTCCTGAAATTTGGGACCTAAAAATAAAAAGGGAACAAAAACATAGCCCAAAAGGTCCGAACCAGGGAGCTTGGGGCCTGTGACAGGCCACGCGGTCAGGGCAGGGTGGCTGCTGTTTCTGAGTCTGTGAAGTGGCAGAGTGGACTCGTGGGATCATTCCTATGACCTCCTCCCATGTGATATGCATCCATGGAGATGGAGTAGTGGATAAGGCTCAGCCACAGGAACCTTGAACGCTCGGGAAGCCTTGACATGGTGTTGGTCCTGCTGCAGGCCACTGTTTCTAGTGAATTCTACCAGGCAGAATGAAAGACGTGCAGCGGCTGGGACAGCAGCAAAGCAGCACATCAGAACAGCCATGCGTACGTACACCCAGCTCTTGGCTGTGCTCAGCCGGGTGTACTCAGAACGCTTTGGTTCCTTAACGTATGCCCGTGATCACCCCAAATCTTCATTTTATAAACATAGACGTGGTTGTGATACACGCAGTGTTGCAAGATTTCGCTGAAAATTTAAGTAAAGAGAAATATAAGAAGAGGAACCTAGATAGAAAATCTAACAAACTTTGGAAAGTTTCCCAATATGTTATTATACACTGATAATACCTTGCAGGTTTTAATGCCAGCCATGACTTCCTTTTTGATTGTTGCATGAAAATGATGCTCATAGAATAGTGTTAATATTCAAATACTTTCCATGTCTTATATTGTAAAGTATTGCCTCACTAGATCAAGCAAAATTAATCACACATAAAATATTTTTTTTCTCAGTCATTTTAGCAGGGACACCTAGGCTGGTTAGATATGTGTAGAGTGCCTTTTTATGAAGTTTTCTTATAGACAATGAAAGGATTATGTTGTGGCACTTCATTTTTAATACTGCTTATCAGTCCACGTTTATAAAGTGAGTCGGACTTAAATCCAAACATGTGCGTTAGGGGAATGCCCCTTAAGAGCTGCAACTTGTCCCGATCATGTGTTAACTGCACATGGCCTGCTGTTTGACCTATGCTGCTATTATCATCTTGAGGAATAAACTCTCAACGAAAACTAGAATCACTCAAGATGTATGTAGGAGGCACCAGTCCGTGAGAGTCCAAAAATTGAGCTTTCTTACTGATGCATGTGCCAACAGTGATGGATGTGGCCAAATCGAGAGACACAGTTACCAAAATACAACAACTGCACAGTGTGGTCTTTGTGTCACCTTTCCCGAGGTGAGGTAGAAATAATTAAGTGTGGATGAGACCGTGTGACGGGGGCAGGAGGAAAGAGTGTATTTAAGTCTTAGGAAGTCCCTAGCCCAGGGGACGCACTGATACACTGCTGCAAACAGCCTGGCGTGTGAAAACCAACGCTGTTGGCCTTCCGTGGAGAACTGTCACCCCCGCTCGCAGTCCCCTCTTCCTGTTTCCTGAAGACAAGTCTTCCTTTGCATGTACTTGCAGTGATAACTTTTGCCTAGGTGTTTATGAATTCTACCACATGCATATGTGTGTGTGTGTGTGTGTTTACAAGGAATGATCAAAAACTCCTTATATTTGGGAGTTAAAGATATCATTTAAGGGTTTTCAACTGCGTATCGCTTGAGAAAGGAAATGATTGGGGATGCATTTTCTCATGAGAGCTCACTGCCCCTCCTTAACTTACATCTGGGATCTTCATCAAGTTCCAAGAAGTCTAGCTCAATTATTACATCTATCCGAGAGGGATAATAGGGAGGAAAGGGCAACAAGAGAAGAAAATGGGGAGGAGGAAGAGAAAGAGGAATGCATGAATCCCTTTACCTGCAAAAAGTGTGTTGTGCAAAAACAATAGGATATTTAAAAAGAAGTAACAGCACAATCACTTTCAGATGATTTGTATTTCGGGAAATTCTGTGGTTGTTTCACTCATTCAGATTGGTCAGTATTTTTTGCAAAAGTGACATTGAGTGTAGCTAGCCGAATATATCTTTCCAGTGCCATCCTTGACAGCCCCACAGTGGCATCTTGGGCAAATGCCTACTGTGAAGAATTTAGACGGGGCATCCCCAAAAACAGCCTCTCCAAAGATGGTACTAGATCAAAGCTGAATTCAGTGTTGGAGAGACGGTTCATGAAAGCTCTCGTTTTTCTCAAATCTTACTTTTCTCCGACTTCCTGTACTGATAGATACGTTGCAATTACCTTGTTTATTTATGCATGTATCATGTTCAGAACAAGAAAATATACTTGACAGCTAAGTACAGGAGTACATGCTATAAAAGCATATGACACAGTGTTTATTTTCTCACATAGCGACAAAATGATGATTTCTTAAGTTTAACAGATTGTGTGGAAAGGTGACTCATTTGCACAACTAATGCATTGTTTTCTGATTTTTTAGAATCGTGTTCCCATAACAACCATGAAAATTTCATCCAAAAAGGTAAATAATGATTCACATTCCTGTTCTTTTCATAAATTTTGCTATTAGCCAAATGTATAAACTTCAAGCATCTGCTTTACTATGAACAAAATTATTAGTGTTAAATGCCACGAGATTATTTTTGACATAAAACCCATTCATTCCTATCGGTTTATTTTCGTATAAAAGTTCGTCAGAGCAGACCATAGAGACAGCCAAGATACGCAATGTTTGTGTCACCTGTATTCTCCAATATTCGAGTGTGTGAAGCCAATTAAAATCAGAGCAGTCTTTCTGGAGGAAAATAATTGGATAATGTTTGGGCAGCTCTCACATAAGAGAGGGGCCTGGCATGCATGGTGGATCCACTTTAAAATCCCTGCTCTTAATCTGCTGTCTAAAATGCACAATGCCTTCTTTCGTGTTGATTTGTAAGGAAATGTGACTTTCCAATGTGTGAGCATGCCATTAACACCAGAAAGAAAGGTAGAACTTAAAAGCTGAAATCTAAGAGTTAAACATTTGGGGGACAAAGTATTGGACCAGTGATAACCAGAAATCTGAAGCACCTTCTCCTTTTGTGCATTGATCTGGCCAGGCAAAGCCTCATGCCAGTAGGCACACATGTAAGACATGCATGTGTGAGGGCCCCAAAGGTATCATCTGAAAACAAAATCTCGAAAGGGTGAAGCAATAGGAACAAGAGAGAGAAGGCTTCAGAATGGGGGCTGGCATGTGCTTGTCCCCCGGCCTGTCCTTCAGTTAGGAATCAGTCATTGAACACCACTGACCGCAGCTCCAACAACCGCACAGTAGGGCCCTTCCCTGCAAAGAGCTGATTTATCCAAATTGCCAACATCAAGTGCATCCTTCGTGACCGCTATCTGTGAGCGCCTGCGACCTGTTTTTTTTGGACTGTGGAATAAAGGTTTCAATATTAGTACAACTGACTGCGTAGATTTAGCCCTGGTGACCGTATCTGGTCTGTTAAGACAAAGTGGGATTTGGTAATCAGTCTTGCGTTGTTTCCATTTGACCAAATTTTATGAGGAAAAATAAACAGGGGATGATAGAACTAAACATGTCATCTGTAAAAATGTTTGGATGGTACATGACAAACATTTTCCCAGGAAACACGCAGCTATGTATCATTTTGTGTAATGTCCCGGGACCGTGATCCAAATTAGGGCTCTCTTTGATGTCAGCGGGGAAGCCCTTGGTTTATGGTAGCTTAATGGGAAGAGAGAAAGAGCAGAATTCCACATGGATCCATTTGAAAGAATTACTTCTCATTAAACACCAAGTCTGCATCCACATGATGTAGCAATCCATAGGGGCACGAGTGTCATGTTGCTTTTGGTTTCTATGCTCCGTCTGTCTTCAAAATATTATAGCAAATGTGCTTTAAAATGTTTTGTTAAAACAACTGGTACAGGCAGTTATTTCATTTTTTGGAAGTCATTTGCACAATGGCCTGTTGCGTTGTTTCTTTAGGAGGAAGGGGGCTGCTGTTAGTGAAGGGGCTGCTGTTAGTGAAACACCTGCTTTGCATCTCTAAGTATCACAGATTTAGTCCGTTTCTTAATACTTAAGGACTTTATTGCTCATTTGTGACTATTTTTAATTTATTCACGTATCCATACAAAAGAAAATAGCTGGATACATTAAAAATATATTGTCTTGAATGAAATCGTGTGGGTCTTTTCCCCAGGCGTAGTAGTTTTTGTAAAATAGTTTGATCGAATTCATGTATTCACTGTTGATTCATCAATCAAACAAACAGGACTTATTTCACGTGTTCCTCGGCCAGTCGTCTTTGTCAAAGCATGAGACTGTTCGCCCCTACCTCGCGATCAACAGTTGACTTAGCATAATTACCTAAGACCTAATGGAGTAAGACAGGACTTGAACGATGGTTTAGATTCGAGAATTTACGGAATTGGCTCTACCATTACTGTTAATGAAACAATAAGTAAGCAACACCTCCAGAGCAGTTCTATGCATTTTACTGTGCTGGCCACTCCAAATTATTTTTTTACAAAAAACGCTACAGGCTAAGTATTCCTTACTCATTGACGAGTGAGTAAGGAAGCTGAGATTGGGCAGAACTACTCAGCAGCTGTGTTGCTGCGAGGAGACTAAGAGCTCCAGCGTCAACTGCGCCCGCACAGACTGCGTCACCGACTGTCCAGGTCTCAGTGATATGGGGGGAAGTATGAATGCACGTCCCTCGTACCCGCAGCTACTCAAGTTCGAGCTCAGAGCTCCTGCTCAAAATTGCATTATTTACTTTAAGTCCTTTGGAAAAGAAACTGTGCCAATTAAAAAACTCCTTTCCTGAGAATTACGTTGTCCGGCCCGGCGCGGTGGCGCAAGTGGTTAAGGGCCTTGCCTTGCATGCCCGGGATCCCATATGAACGCCGGTTCTAATCCCGGCAGCCCCGCTTCCCTTCCAGCTCCCTGCCTGTGGCCCAGGAAGCCAGTCGAGGACGGCCCAAAGCTTTGGGATCCTGCACCCACGTGGGAGACCCGGAAAAGGTTCCTGGCTTTGGATTGGCATAGCATCGGCTGTTGCGCTCACTTGGGGAGTGAATCATCGGACAGAAGATCTTCCTCTCTGTCTCTCCTCTCTGTATATCGCCTTTCCAATAAAAAATAAAATAAATCTTAAAAAAAAAAAAAAGAGCTACGTTATCTGAAGCAATTGGAAGGGAAGAAGCTGTCACACTACCCAGTTAGAAGATCTTTCTGGATGATTTTGTTTAGGCTGATGAAGGCAGCTGCCTCTTGCAGAAATGTTTCGATGTTTCAGCTCACACACTGATATTCTTTAGACAAATTGGAATGCAACCTAAATAAGTAATATAACACATGCCAAGGCAGATGACCGAAATGTTTCTTGGTGTCATCTAATACCCCAGTCCAAAAAGAAAAAAGAAAGGTACTATTTTTGCTTCTAACTGAAAACACCCTTTGTGTTCATTGCTTTTCCAAATCTATAAAGGCTCGTGTTGCCAGAGTTGAAAGATAAAGCTTCCTCCTGCTTTGCCAAGAGGCATTATTCAATGTAAAAGAAAGAAAATATCGTCATTCAAATCTGTAATGTGGTAGCTACAAGCTGAGAGAACAATGAAGTTCAATGTTCAAAATATGTTCCCACTCTACATGGAGCTCAGAAGGGTTTTTTTTTTCTTTTCTTTCTGTAACAGAAAAGGGGTAATGTTATAGGCACATGAATGTAGCAAAATTCTATTTATTTTGGCTTGGAAACCTGGTGTGCTTTCGCTGTTCATTTTCAGTTTGTCTCCAAATCAACGTGGGACTCCATGGGCGTATGTTATGAAACATTCTTGCTGGAAAGTCTGCTTTTGAACTTCCCCATCTGATCTAAATCATCATGGTTTCTCTCACAGCAACAGTTGTACGTGAGCTCCAATGAAGGGATTTCCCAAGTGTCCCTGCATCGTTGCCACACCTACGGCACAGCCTGCGCTGACTGTTGCCTGGCCAGGGACCCGTACTGCGCCTGGGACGGCAAGTCCTGCTCCAGATTCTACCCGACGGGCAAGCGGTAAGGGCTAAACATTCGACTGACAAATAGGATGTATGCTGCCAGACGTAGCAACTTGCTCTCCATCGGGGCGATGGGTGCAGTTTTCTTCAAAAGGAAAAAAAAGCATTCAAATAGTAGCTATATTTAACATAGGCGAAGGAACTAGCCAGGCCTTATAACTTGAGATTCTTACAGAGAAGGAGATGTTGAAAGATGTCGGGATAGCATTTAGGTTTTTTTTTTTTTTTTCACTTCAACTAATTTATGTGTTTGGTTGTTTTTATGTGATCCACTCTATGTTTAGATTGCATCGTCTTGGCCCACATTGCGCCCTTAGTTTACAATGAAATGTTTGTCCCCCCCAGATGACAGAAACAAAGATATTATCTAGAGCGAGGCCAACTGTATCCTTCAGGCTTCGGGGAGTGTTTTCTCAATGTGGGTTCCCTGATTCCCTGGATGGTCTTGACAACCGAGAGAGAGAGAGAGAGAGAGAGAGAGAGAGAGAGAGAGAGAGAGAGGGGATGGCTTGATTAACAGAGAAAAGCGTTCTGTGGCAGGTGCATTTTGTCCAAGGAAAGACTCACTCAGGGAACACTGGAGCAACCATGTCCAGGTGGCAAAGGGCCACTAGTAGAAAAAAACAGCTTGAAGAACAAAATGGCAGAGAATTCAGGGGGAAGCCAAGGTAATCAGTGCTTTCAATCTTACTGTGATGTTGGTCATGATGGGTACACGGGCCAAAACCTATAAAAATTAACATCAACAGAGGAACAAATAGGACCAGCCACGAGTGCTAAGAATGTTCCAAGTGGAGCCCTCCTGGCTGATGGTTTGTAGCTTTTACTCTCTGTAACACATATGTTCGGTTAAGTCCCGTGACAGGTGATTAAAATCGCCCTTGCTGTAGCCCAAGTATTCTGATCTTTTTAATCCTTTGTTTTGATATCAAAGACCTATCTTGGAACAAATATTTCCAAGCACTGTTCTAGAAAGTCAACTTATATCACGGAAAACAAAGGCAAAGAATTGAATGTTCTGCCTTCTGGAATAATCATTTCTAATGGAGGAAGATGGGTGGTAATTCAAGAAGGAAAATATCCAATCCTCATACCTCAAGTAATGATAAGGTTTATGAATTTAAAATCAACAAAGAAGGCGTGGGAAGCACATGGGAATCAGGGGTTGTGATGCTATGTGGGTGGTAAGGAAGCCTTCCTGAAGGTGTGCTGTTTGAATCTCAAGCTTTCTTTGAAGCTCCGGGCTAGGAAGTTTGGGTGAGGGTGGATGGTAGAAGTTGTAAGATAAGCTTTTTACTGTAGGTCCTTGTGAGATGCAATAATTATTCAGCAATAATAGCAGTAGAGCCATCACAAAAGTGGTCCAGGAGCCAGCACCGTGGTTTCATGGGCTGTTCCCCCCTGCTATGGTTCTGGCATTCCAGTGGGCACTGGTGAGTGTTCACATTGCTCCACTTCTGATCAAGCTCTCTGTTCATGGCCTGGAAATCAGCAGAGGATGGTGCAAGTCCTTGGGACCGTGCACCCATTTGGGAGATCCGGAAGAGGCTCTTGGCTGCACTGGCTTTGGATCAGCTCAGCTCTAAGCCAGTGCGGCCATTTGGAAAGTTAAGCAGGGAATGAAATACGTTCTCTCTATCTTCTCTCTCTGTAAATCTGCCCTTCCAATTAAAAAAAGAAGAAGAAGAAATCTTTATTTTAAAAGTGGTTCGATCCTGATTTCTTCTTCTTTTTTTAATTTATCCTCTCAGACATTATTTTAGAAAATTTTGGTCGAATGTTTCTAAAATTGCACATGCTTAATGACAGAGTCTAACTTTACCTAGGAATCCGGTAACATAGCAGGTTTCAAGTGATTTCATCACGCATGGTAGCTGGGAGGGATAGGCTTTATTCAGGTTGAAGGCTGGGTTCATTATCAGCTCTCTGGTGGATACGTTGAATCATTGACTGGGAAATGTCAGGTTCCTCCATCAACCAATCAGACCGTCTCTTTTAGTTTTGAGGACAACTCAGGCCATCCGCAGAGTCTGATGTTTCAATTGGCAGCGCTAATACTGAGTCCTGTTAATGTACTTGTATGCTTGCAGGAGGAGTCGGAGACAAGACGTGAGACATGGCAACCCACTGACCCAATGCAGAGGGTTTAATCTCAAAGGTATGAGAAGCTAACTCAATCAGCCCTGGCCAGTGGCACCGGGCTCCCTGTCATGTTTCAGTAAAGAGAAACGCATTTAGAGCCAAGTCTCTCGCTTTGAAGCAATTCACCGTAGAAATTTCTGGTATTGAAAGATAGCAATTAAAGGTATTACTGATTAAGATTTCTGACACTCGAATTCCCGAAAACACACATACTTGCAGTAATTGGTGTTTTTACTCCTATACATTCTAATTACAGGTTTTCATAGTCATTGCCCTTTTCAGCAAAAAAATGAATTGCTTTCATAATTTATTGTTGAACACATCCAACAATGTTTTTGATCCTGGTAAAAAATAGGTAGTGTAGCATTTAGGATTGTAGCCATGTTGCAGTGTGTGGTTTTACATCCCCAAATGCATTCACTCAGCCAGTCCCCAGGCATCGTTCGTTTTGCCAAACTCTATCCCTGCGTCCATTCCACTCTCACCAGCCCCTACCGGTGCCATTCTATGTGTTAGGAATTTCGTACAAGTGTGGCTCTGGTACAGTCAACTTGTACAACTCTTGGCCTGCCGTGATTGCCCTGCTGTCACACAGCATCAAAGTCGCCCAGGTCTGTTCGTCCCCTTTCGTGTCGTGTGTCCGCATTATCTCCCGAGCCAAGCCTGAGGAATCCTCTGTGGGGCTCGCCCACAAGCTGCGGTGTGCCAAGCCACTTGTCTGTTGTGCCAACATCATGTCCAGATGGGCTGCGGTGCCTGCTTACTGCTCACAGCCCTGCCTTGTGGATCCCTTCTTTGCATCCAGGAAGCGCAGACACCGTAGCATTACACACCCCGACTCTTCCCTTCCTCCCACCAACTGGGAAGTAGCCCCTGGCGGTCCTTTCTCCTGATGCCCCGAGGTGCTTAGAGCTGTGTTGCTTTGGAAAATTAGCCCAAGGCCTCCCCTTAAGGATGCTTTGAAGCCGTGGATTCTCCTTTAGTAAAGGATATTGTTCTCGTAAGGAACTGCCCTAACCACAGGGAACAAATGAAGGCAGATTGGAATTAATTGTTCCTGAGGTCTAATTGCTGAAATAAAGTTAATTGTTCCTGAAGTCTCAGTGCTGAAATAAAACACAATCGCTGTGTCTGTGGTAACACTCAGGCATATTCTGAGAATGTGTCAAACTCCATGCACAGTGGTGATCCATATTGATGCTGAATCCGTGTCCGAATCCCAGTGTCTTTTTCTGGTGATGCACTGAATGCGCATGGATCTAGATTAGAATGGATTTTTATCCCTGCTCTGTGAGTGAGAATTGATCTAAGTGATGATATTAAATGCTTGGCCTCATTCAATGATTTCATTCAGGAGTTCATTGTAACCCCTGTTTGGGAGTGGAACTGGGGCACAAGGCAGATGCGTGGCTTGGCTGTGGTTGCATGGCTAGCTGAGCTGAAGCTGCGATGTCATCCCTGATCCCACAGGCTGTTCCCCACCACTCCGTCCTCCTGCTGCAGCCATACTGTGCACTCTGCGGCTTCCTGTGTTTCTAAAGGTCCTCCATGCCACACGGAGGGGTGGGCTTGAGCAGTGGGGCAGTGGGGAAAGCTACTTTTGCTATCGATGAGTCCCTACCAACGCTGCTTCTGTTCTGTCCTCCTCTCTGTAACTCTGACTTCCCAAATAAATAAGTAAAACATTTTCAAGGGGAACACACGCTGGCCATGTGGCGTAGCAGACAAAGCCACCACCTGCTACCCCTGCATCCTCTATTGGCACCGGTTCGTGTCCTGGATGCTCTGTTTATTCTCCACCTCCCTGCTAATGGCCTGGGAAAGGCCAAGGAAGATGACTCAAATGTTTGACTATCCGCTACCCACATGGGAGGCTCAGATGAAGTTCTGGCCCTTCGTTTCAACATGGCCAAAGTGCTACCGCTGTGGCCCTCTGGGGGGTGAACCCACGGACAAAGAGTTTTCTATCCCTTTCCGTGTCTTCATTCTCTGTGCGTAACTGTGACTTGCAAACTGAATACACCCAGCTGTTTAAATACTCTCACCTCTGTTTATTCAGCTAAGAAACCCTCACTTGCAAATGCATCATAATAATCAGGTGGCCACAATTATAAGAAATAGTTCTTGGTGTAGGTTCTTGCCAATCAACATGGTTCCCCTCACCAATAGTGCAGCCTTGGTTAGACTAACCTCGCATACTGAGAAGTAAAGATGTGTTACACTAGGCATCTTTTACTTCTAAATACCTACTGTGCCATGATGCGAGATAAAATAGCAGAATGTCGACCTTGCAACTGTTATTCAACTACGGTGATAATATGGGGGAATGGAGAGAGAGGATGAGTATGAAGAATGAGGAATACTTGTGCCCATAAAAATGTGTTATAAAAAATAATAACAGAAAAATCATTTGCCCCACCCTCTTATGCTTTTATTATTTTTGAGATTGCTTGATTTATTTATTTTAGAAAAGTGATAAAGTAGGTGACAGAAAGAGAAAAAATCTTCCATCCCCTGTTTCACTCTGCATTTGGTCATAACCACCAGGGCTCATTTAGACAGGAATCGTAAGCCCGAAGCTTCTTCCAGGTCTCCCACGTGGGCGGCAGGGGCCCAAACACTTGGACCATTTCTTATGCTTCGGCCACTCCAGTTGCAGAGAACTGGATCAGCAGTGGATGAGGCAGGATTCGAACTGGTGCCCTTGTAAGATGCTGGCATCAAAAGTGGAAGCGTTACCTGCAGAACCACAATGACAGCCCCCTTGTCCCTTTATGATAAAAAACACCAAGGGAACGATGGAGAGGAATGACCTTGTTCCGTGGTCACGCTGCCTTCTGCTGGCTGCACGACTCGATGACCGTGTCACAGAAAAAGCATGTCACCGGACAGCGCGTGCTCTAACTTCTGCGCTCTCTCTTGTTCTGCTTTTGCTCCTCAGAATATAGAAATGCAGCTGAAATTGTTCAGTACGGAGTGAAAAATAACACCACGTTCCTCGAGTGTGCCCCCAAGTCTCCCCAGGCATCCATCAAGTGGTTGTTACAGAAAGACAAGGACAGGAGGAAAGAGGTGAGTGACTCGGCAGACACCATCCAGGAGGCCTCCGGAAGGAGCCTTCAGTCACTGGCCCCTTGGCCAAGTTCAGGTCAATGGAAAAGTCCTGACCTGTGAACGTCCCCTCTTCTGTCTTTGCTGCGACAAGGGCCACCCCCCTTCAAAACCCTTTGTTCTTGGAATGGATGGATTAATTGGAAATCTTCGCTTGTCTTTTTTTTACCTCTGTGTTTGAATCAAGAGTTGGGGCACCAAGACCTTGGTCTTGACACAAGGAGGTGTTGGTGAAAGAAATAAGGTGAATCTGGAAGCCACATTCTCCCACAGCAGCACCTTAGGGTGACTCACAAGATCAGAGAGGTCCTCAACAAGATCCTAGTTTTCCGCAGCAAAGAAATGATTCCGCAGCCTACCTTGTATGGCACGCAACATTTTTCTGCTGTGAGGTCATCCGTTTTCCTGCTTTTGCTTTTTTTTTCCCCCCTACCACGCACACACTCCACATAGGTGAGACACGAATGGCTTATGGGAACATCACCGGTATTGATTTGATGTGGAAGAAAGCAAGCCTAAAATTTTCCAATCACAAGGCACTCACTGTCCCGTTTTACTGAGGGTAAAAGCTGTTGAAAAAGTGGTGGAGGTGGGAGAATACAGTCAAAGCATTACCATTTTGTCTGATATGTATATCCTTAAAGATGCCTGAAGACTCATCCTTTCGGAATTCCGTGTCCTCTGGTGGCAATGTTGTTGCTAAGTGTTGAGTTGAACAAGGCTAAGTAGCATGCCCACCGGGGCACAGGTCATCACCAAATCACAGCTCCTGAAATAAACATTGGTTCCTCACCCAGGGATTCTTTGCAACACTGTGGGCTGCCTGGGAGCTCTTGAGTGGGCTATGTATCCTGTCTTCAGGGATGTTAAGGGGGCAGATGAGTGTCCTTGCCCATCAAAGGAGGTTTCATTGTTTGGAGGAAAAAGGATTTCATTCACAGAGCTTGATATTTTTCCCCCCACACTTCTGTGAAACTTTAAGAAACCTTTGAAAGAAACTTCATGACAATGATCAGAGATTGCCTTTTGACTATAAAAAGAAAAAAAAATCTGCTATAAAAATGTCCTGAAGTTTCTGCAGTTTAATTGATGACTTTAAGATAACCTAAAGTGGAAGTCACTGTGCTGGTGAGAGCCAGGGCTAGGCCAATGAATGCATGGACAGGAAAAATTCTTCCAGAAAAAAACCTCAGAGCTTGGCTACAAATTGTATAACTGGTTCTCAACCCAAAAATTACCTCCTATGGATAAAATACTTCCTTTCAATCAGTAAAATAGTTCATATGAAACAATATCCAAATGAATGAGTAGTTCCCATTGCTTAAATAATTTTTCTATGGTTTTGGATACACGCCATAGGAATTAATCGTATGATTTTAAATGTGATGTGTTATACATGGGAGCATTTCATGATGTTTGCAGCACTTTATTTCAACATTGAAGAGTGTGGCAACTGAACTGGCACAATGTTGATGTTTCTTACAAACTCAAAAACAAGAATAAACTAACTGAAGATTTGATACCATTAATTCTGGCACAGTCATGAACAGCTGTTCAGTTCGAAATTGACTCAAAAATGAACAAACTACAAAGCTAAAAAAACTAATTTAATCAGAACACGTTTCTGCTTATTCTTAATTTAATTAGAAAAGCTATTTGTGTTTTACCAAATTTGTCTTGATTCTTACTATTTCAGACAAACACACATGTTGTACATGTTACTGGTGTGCAAAAATCGAGCATTTTCTAAAACAGATAAAGTAACAAAAACTCGGGACCAAAATACTCCTACTAGTTCATATTTAATGGCATAAATTAAAATCCGAGAGCCTGTTTCTGCATTAGCATTTATTCCCACTTTTCAGGCTAAAAGAATTTCTCTGATTCTCTGTTCCTCCAAATGTGCTTTATAAATTCTTTCTCCCTGTCTCTCTCTCTCACACACACACACACACACACACACACACACACACACACTCAAGGAATCTATCAGGACACTTGGGGTCAGTTTCCTTTTAACAACTGTATAGTATTCTCTGGTGTGACTACATCTTGGATTAGGTTGCTTTTTATTTTTCCTCTAGCCAGAAACACAAGGCAGGGCCCATGGAGGTGGGTTAAGCTGCCATCTGTGATGTCAGTCTCACAGGAGAGGTAGTTGAGTTCCGGCTCTTTCCAATCCAGCACCCTCCTGCGGATGGGTTTGGAAAGACAGCACAAGGTGGCCCAAGTGCTTGCAAGGCCCCCCACCGCCCAATCACCCACATTGGAGACAAGATGGAATTCCAGCTTCCAGTCTTCAGTGTGGTACAACCCTGGTCATTCGGGCCACTTGGATGCGAGAACTAGCTCTCTCTCTCTCTCTCTCTCTCCATCTGTACATATGCCTTTCAAATAAATAACTCTTGAAACATACACACACAACGTAAACAAACATTACAGATTTTTAAGACTGTCTTCTAAATGAGTTCCTACAAATGGAATGGCTGCATCAGAATGTGCATGCTTTAATTAATTAATTAATTAATTTAACTAAATTGGACTCAGAAAACGTTCTTTGATGTTGCCTAGACAGGCCAAAGCTTTCATTTTTCTTTCAATTTCTGCATGACTCTCCTTAATCGTTAGGTTATTGTTGAGGTACATTTAAATGTAAAAAGATTAACATCTAAACTTGTGTTTTTATTTCCTCCCAAGGATTCTCTCTTTTCTAATTCTGTTCTATCAATGCGCTTTCAATACTGTGTTTGCATTTTTATGCTTTTCCATAGTTGATTTTTTTTTATATGGATTAAATGCAGCCATTCAGGAAGTAAGCATTTAGCTTAGCAGTTAAGACCCCCAAGAAGCCTGCAACCCACACTACACGACCCAGGTTCAAGTCCTGCTTCCACCTCCTCAGTCCAGCTTCCCGTAACCACAGCCCCTAAGAGGAAGCAGCAGTTTCCAACTAATTAATTCACTTTAAAAAAAAACACACACACAATGGGGTCAAGGGTCTTTGTCCGCTGAGCAGGAAGCTGTTTGGTACTTACCGAAACTTGTGAAGACCCGGACTATTCTGTATGTGTTGGTTTATCATTTCAGAAAATATAGTTTTGGAAATGTAGTAGGTTTCATTTTCAACCCAGCGCAGTGGCTGAAATGGCTAATCATCTTCCTGCAGGCGCCAGCATTACATACAGACATAGTTCATGTCCTGGCTCCTCCACCTGCTATAGTTTTCTGCTTGTGCCCTGGGAAAGCAGCAATGGATGGCCTAAAGCTTGGGACCCTGCCTCCACATTGTGAAACCTGGCAGAACTTTCTGGCTCCTGGCTCCAGATCAGCTTAGCTCAGGTTGTTAGGGCCATTTGGGGACGCAAGATCTTTCTCCATCCCTCTTTCTCTCTATCAATCTACCTTTCCAGTTAAACAAACAAACAAAAAAATCCATCTTCAAAAACTACGTTTCTTTGTCAGGTTAAGCTGAATGAACGCATCATCGCCACGTCCCAAGGACTCCTGATCCGCTCTGTTCAAGACTCTGACCAAGGACTGTATCATTGCATTGCAACAGAAAACAGCTTCAAGCAGACCATAGCCAAGATCAACTTCAAGGTGTTAGATTCCGAAACAGTGGCTGTCGTAACTGAAAAATGGTCCCCGTGGACCTGGGCCAGCTCCATGAGGGCCCTCCCCTTCCACCCCAAGGACATCATGGGGGCGTTCAGCCACTCCGAAATGCAGATGATCAATCAATACTGCAAAGACACTCGCTCTCAACACCACCACCATGGCGAGGAGACACAGAGGATGAGAGGGGACTACGGCAAGCTTAAGGCGCTCATCAGCAGCCGGAAAAGCAGGAACAGGAGGAATCAATTGCCTGAGTCATAATCGACTCTCCCGGTGTGGGTTAAGCCTCTGATAACAAATGCTCAGTCTGCAAAACAGCCACGTTTTGAACAGTCTTGTGCTTTGCCCTTGAGAAATCACTGAACTAAGGTCATTACTCTTCAAGTGAAGGTTTTCCACGAACTGAAATGAGCATGCGTTTTCTTGTATAATATCGACTAGCACTAGACTTGTCATGGTCTTCATGGTGCATAGAAGTATTTAACTGAACCCAAATTTTATTTATATCCTTTATTCACCTTCAAACTCCATCCGGCGGCTACAAAAGTAAGAGTCGCTGTATCCCTCAATTGAGACAGGGTCCTCATCCTGGGCTATTGCTATCCTGTTCTCTGAGTCCAGAGTTCTGACCGGCAGTGCTTTTTCTGCAGGAAAGCAAATTCCACATCTGCAGTTTTCATGTAGAGAAAGTCATACACAAATGCAAGAAACAGAACAGCCGGCAGCAGAAACGTAGTCAGTATACTTGACACGGAAGGGGCCATTTAAGAGCGATACGAAAACACGAATGCATCATAAAGGCAAAGAAGGTTTTGATACGCTGCCAGTGAAGTGCGGAGGTGTTTTCAGATCCGAGGTCTTGTCCGTTGCTGATATCTGTCACGGACCTCTGTTGCCTCGTTTCAGGTAGATTAAAAAATGGGTAACTTACACCATAAAGCAGAGAGAGCAGAGGAGCCGTTGGGTTTATCTTGTTACATGATCATCTTCTGAGCAGAAGCACTTTTCGGGGAAAAGTTATTTTAAGTTATTCTAGACTGACCTACAGCCTTCCACTATTTAATTGATGACTGTGTCGTACCTGGTTTTCGTATTGGCATTTGTCAATAGGAAAAGGGACAGAGTTTGGAAGTCTCGAGCTTCTCTGTGGGGAAGGAAATCAGCAAAAAGGAGAAAAGATGGAAAAAAGCCAAGTAGGAAATTCAGTAGTAAGAGGAAATGTGTTAGTAAATGTGGTTCACATTCAAATTAGGTAGTCGAGCTGGGTGATGAATTGTCACTGTTTTAGAAAGCGAGGCTCACATACTAGACTCTAAACTGATTTTTAAGTCAATATTTTATTTTTTATAAGCTTTTGCTTGTGGTGGGGAGGTACTCATTATGTCAAGAAAGGAAAAATAATATAAAAATATTCATTTTATTTATGTTAGTATTATATTGTTTTTTCTTTCACGCATCCTTTGAAATGAAATTATGTTCACTGGTAAATGTGGAAAGTTTTATGATTAATAAAATTATTATCTCCTAATTGTGTGTTTGGATAATTATATTAGAGTAATTTCATATTGAAATCATCTTCTCCCCATAGAAATTAGATGAGGAAAATGCAATACATTTCCTCTTGTTCCTATATTTTAAAAACACAGCGTGGGGCTTTGCAATTCATTTGCTTTGAAGACATCTCCATGTTTTCAGACGAATACAAAACTTGTGCCAAATTCCTAAGTATAAGCTGGTGTTAAAATTATATCCGAAATTAAGAACCTGTGAAGCAGGTCATTAAGGTCATACTGCTGCCCTTTAAGAAATTTCAATGCGAAACTTCAAGAAGTAGTACCACTGTCAAAATGAATGGGGTTACCAGTCCAAGCCTGCGACTGTGATTAAATGGTGACAAGTCATGGCATTCTAGGGTGGCAGTTAAAAAGAACAAAGCAACGGCAAACCAGATTTAAAAATCTATCCCAAGTGTATCTAATTCTAAACTTATCTTCAAAGAAGTTGGCACTGCGCATGGTTTGTCTGCCTTAAAGATGTTAGGTTTCTTGTCACCTCTGCCTGAGCAAACCAAACTGTATCCATGCAAAACGAAATCATGTTCTGTATTTGTGATCAATCTATGCCACACGCACAGTCAAAAGTCATTGTGTAAGCATCACAATTCCCCCGGCTTCACGTCAACCCAAACTGATAGCTAATAAGTTATTTGATTTAATATCATGATTGTGCTATTTAATGCCCTTTATTTTGCCCGTTACTAAAATGTCTATGCCTTTATCACTTTTCTTTTAAAACTTCAGATGTTGTCTTCCAACATAACCCTGCCAAATGTAAAGAAAATTTTTTTCCCAAAAGTATCATTCATGGTTATTGAACATATATGGTTGGCTGGTTTTATTTTGCGTAAGTTGACGATTTCATGACTTGGTACTTTTTTTTTTTCCGATTGTATTGTCCATACAGTTGCCTAGAAATGTGCTTTTGCCCCTCCCGGTGTAGGTTTGTGAATAGCATGATGGAATCATCCAATGAATCTTAAATCTTTGTTAAAAAGCAAGTTAAATGTAATTAGCCCACGAAAATGTAATTGGATACTTAAATTATTGGTCCGGAAAAATAAAACATGTTGAATTCCCCAAAGGAAGTCTTTGGCTGTTGTTCTAATGTACAATGTAGCTGCTTATTAATGTGGCAGAATCAGTTTAATCCTCGTCATTATCATGAACATCTATTTGTGTAACAAGTACATATCAAGACATTTTCCACCTTTGAAATTCCAGAGGGGTTCCCATGGAAAAAAAAATGGGTTTCAAAAATTTTATGGGAAATAAAGAATAGGTAGACCACTATCTCTGGATTTCAAAGTTATCTGTAACAACATATCTTTGATATTTCTTATATTTAAAAGACAGAAAAGAGACAGTGACATACTATCAAGTATGTCATCTGCTGATTCACTTCTCAAAAGCCCAGGACAGCTGCGGCTGAGCTGGACTGAAGCCAGGAGGCAGGAACTCAGCTGGAGTCTCAGATACAGGGACCAAATATTTTAACCATCACCTAATCTTCCCAGGGTACCAGCTAGCAGGAAGTTGGAATCAGAAATGGAGTTGAAACTCAAGCCCAGGCAGTGCCTTTGACAGCTAAAGCCTGTGGAGCAGGTAATATCTTTGAAATAAAAGAAGCCTTTGTTAAAGTCAGAGGAAGGAAGCCACAGGTTAGAACATAATCCTCTTAACACTTTTGACTGACAGAACCCTTTTTCTAACTTGGGGCTTCAGGTCTGTAATAATGTGAGTGGAGGAAAGAATAAGTTGGATTCTGCATGCAGGCTGATCCTCCACCCCGTGGTGCAAACATCTCACAGGGGCAGTAGTTTTTTAAGTCGTGGCTGTTCCACTTTCAACCCAGCTGTCTGCTTATTGCCTGGGAACACCATAGAGGATGGCCTGCACCCACGTGGGAAACGAAAAGAGGCTCCTGGCTCATGACACTGAGCCTTGGCCACTGCATCCGTTTGGGAAGTGAACCAGCAGGTGGAAGACCTCTCTTTGTCTCTCCTTCCCTCTTTCTGTAAAAATCTGCCTTCCAACTAAAAATAAACCTTAAAAATACGAACAAAGCTTAGAAATGATCTCAACAGATTTCCCGACCTGATCACTCCGCTTACTCTCTAATTGGCTTGTTTTAACAGCATTTATTCTGTCATAGGGTTTCTCTCAACCACACCAGCACAAATACAGTGATTTCCCCCCGCCCCTTTGGTGCTTTCATTTCTGCTTGAATTATTCATATACGAAATGCCATCCAAAGATTTGCTGAGATCAGCACCAGAATGGCTTCTGCAGACGGATATAGAAATTAGATACTGAAAGTACCTTCTTTGGGATGGATGTGAGCCGATGCTGTTTGGAAGCTGTGATGTAATGCTGTTTGTGATGACTGTTTGGTAGGAACAGAACACCTCGGGTTTGTGCTATTACAGTATAGGCTGTTACTTTTCATTTTCCTTTCTTCCAGAGTTTTCATTTATCTGAAAAAAAGCAGCAAGCTACAAGAGAGAGGCAGATCGCCTTTAGGAATCAGAGATCATGGTCAAGGGGCTTCCTGGGGCTGCGATGACCTGCTTCAAAGAACGGTTACTGGGTCCTAAGGATGCACTTCCTATACTTAGAAATGTGCTGTGTGGATGATGAGGGCTACAGCAAGGCGTTCCAGGTGAAGTGACCTTGTGGAGATGAGGAAAGGGCTTAATTCACTGCGAGTTTGACCATGACCTTCATTGTCACTAGAGTCAGCAAAGTAGTTCCCGCGCCTTCCGAGACGGTTCCACTCCCCTTCCTTCCTGAACCCCAATTTCTCTGTAAAGGAAAGAAGGCTGTTTGCAGCAAGGCAGGCTCCGATCAGAAGCTGGTGCTCAGGCTATGGAAACGAAGGGTTAATACACTTCCCTTCTCACCAACGGAATGATTGTGGATGTTTGTTGATAGAAGCTGAATGTCAGAAACGATACGTCTGAGCTGTGCCTTTACTCCTCTTAAAAGAACCTGCCTATAAAATCGTAGAACGGACACAGGACTCACGCACTGACAAAGCGTGGTGTGTCATCCCAACGCACTGTGGCTTCTGCACAGGCGCTGCTCCCTATGTCTTGAGTCTCTCCATTTGCTGCAAATGGATATTAATTTTTGGCCCCAGCCATGGCGCTCAATAAGGGCATAGATCCATGGGTCTCCTTTCTTATTCTTCACATGTGGGTTGAAATCCTACTGCCTCCCGCCTTCCCATGGGCAAGCCTATGGGAAGCAACTCTAACTTCTCCATAACCTGCAAGTCCTATTTTTCTTCTGTCTCATGCACTTGTTTTAACTTTCTCAACATATCTTAACTGAATCCAAATCTAGCTTACCCTGGTCAGGGCTCTTCTAAAGCATGATTCTCCTAGCTTGTTATTAAAATAGCTTGTGATAGAAAATATTAGAGAAACGTCTCTATATTGAAAGTATGATGTGTCTATATATTTATATACATAAAATAGAAGGGAGGATTCCCTAATTTATGAATGATCGCCACAGCAAATCATGGTTTCAGTATATGTTCTCAAAAATATGTATTAACTGTCAAACTGAATTAATAGTAGAACCAAAAGAGAAATTAATGATTGGGACCAAGCAAATTGGGCCCAGCATGATGGTTCAGTAGCTAAATTCTCATCTTGCAAGCATTGAGATCCCATATGGACCCTGGTTCATGTTCCGGCTGCTCCACTTTCCATCCAACTCCTTGCTTGTGTCCTGGGAGAGCAGTAGAGGATATCCCACAACCTTGGAACCCTGCTCCCACATGAGAGATTCAGTAAAAAGCTCCTTGCTCCTGGCTTCTGATTGGCTCAACTCCATGCATTGCAAACACTTGGGGAGTGAACCAGCAGATGGAAGATCTTTCTCTTTGTTTCTCTCTATAAATCTGTCTTTCCAATAAAAATAAATAAGTCTTTAAAACAAATCATCTAAGTAGAGAAGTAATCCCAGTGTTCATGTTTTAGCAGAAAAAAAATCTTTCTGACAAATATATTAAATAGAGAGCTTGAGGACTCGCAAAAAGCTAAGGCAAGAGGAACAAATTGTCAGGACACACTGGGGCAACTGATGTTCCACAAAAACTTTGTTAACTGGCTCTTGCGTAGCTGGGCTCTTGCGTATGAGGGCAAGTCAAGGGACTGAGGCCCCAAGCAATGGCACACGTGGCTCTCAGACAAAGCAACGACATGTAACCGGGCCACACGTTTTGGAACAAAAGCAGATCTCACATGTTGCAGGGCTGAGCTTTGTGTCTCTATGTTGGTGTCCTAGAGATGTGGTTATGTAATGTGGAAATGTACCATAAGACGGGGGGGCGGGGGAAGGGGGGAGTGACTCTTTTCAGCTGTTATCATGTCACTTCCAGCTTGAATTCCTCGAGTTGCAGCTCACGGGCTGGCTGCTGTCCATTCGTATTGTCTAACTGGATCACATTTTTGGGGGGTCAGTCTCATTTGGCTCTGCTCAACTCTATGTGGCCTCAGAGCGAAACACAAAGCCAAAATGAAATGAGAACATGCTTTTTCCCAGTCCTGCTCTTCCTACATTGGTGGAAAAAAAAAAATGAAGCGTTTCACAGCAGTAGGTGAGAGTTATCTTGTCAGCATCTCATTCTTTATTAACAAGTGCTAAGAACCAGACAAGCAACCACAGGTGTAGGGGATAGAAAACGTCATTGGAGGAAAAAAAAAAAAAGTCATTTTAAAAATCCCGAGTCCATCCTTGTGGTGTCTCTTTCTGGAAGAGCTAGCATAGCAGGGCCAGAGAAGTGAGTGGCTGTGTCTCCCACCTAACCTGGTACCTCATGCTCTCTTCCCCCAAATCTCTTCATTCCGTGGTCTTTCTTCCTGATTTTTATCTTCTCAATTTTGGTGCATCTCATACTTGAATGTGTGCAAGCATCTCCTTTCAGCCTTGTGAAAATATAGCTTTGCATGGTGTAGCTGCGGGTTGATCTGGAAGGGTCTGTTTTTCAAGCTCCTGACAGGTGCTCCAGCCACTGTCTTGTAGGATGGATCGCGTACGAGAGCATGACTCTCCTTGATTTTAAACACCGTGATGCAGAGAATGAAGGCAGATTTTTAGAGAAAGGGAAAAGAGAGGGAACATTTCTCCTTTCCTACTCAGCTTTTACAAAGCCTTTCTTACATCTGTAAGCAATAAGCTACAAGAGCATGAGCGAGTCCTAGCCATTATGGCTGCTGTGTGCCATATTGAAATATCTGAATTCAGTCGTCTGCTTATGGGGCCAGCTTCTTGCAGATGCATAGTCTGAATAGCACAGGGACAGCTCAGGTGACTGGGCTCCTGTGGCTCCCTTGGGTGCCATAGATTGAGTTCCCCGGCATCCAGCCTTGGTTCCAGCTTGGGGAGAAGGAAAAGGATTTCAGGCATGTGGGCAGTGAAGTGAAGACTGGGAGCACCTTCCCTTCTCTCTCTCAAACAAAGCTATTGTCTATATTGTCTATATATTGTCTATATACTGTCTATAAGGATTCCCCCTCCTCCCTCCTCTTCCCTACCCATCCATTAATCCCTTCCTCCGTTCCCCCTTACTATTACAATAGCATAGTTCTTCAGCAACAATCACAAATGCAACATTCTGCTATTTAAGTCTATCATGGCCATGGCAGAAAATCTAGTATCATATTGTCAAAGTGTATTCCACAGCTTCATCGATTTTCTTCCATTAAGGGGGGAAAAAAAAGCAAGCTGTGCAACAGTAGCTTAAAGAATAAGAAGTTCAATTGAGTAATAACTGTGCAAGCCCATCTGTGATTTTTAACTGCAGTATTGCATGAATTAGTGCTATTCTAATCAAATGCCTCTAAGGTAATCGCATCTGAAATATTCATGAAACAGGCTTTCAGATTTAGGTGAGAAGAGAAGTGAACAATAGATTCTAAGAGAAGCATCCCCTAGTTAGAATCTATTCATATACTGATTTGATCTAGTTGAGGAAGAAGTTAGAGAGACCACAGGACTTCCCCTGAAGGCTAAGATGATGGCTGTGTTGGAATTTATCTTAATGTTGTTTAGCTGCACCCATTTGTTGT